CTGCTGCTGCTGCTGCTGCTGCTGCTGCTGCTGCTGCTGCTGCTGCTGCTGCTGCTGCTGCTGCTGCTGCTGCTGCTGCTGCTGCTGCTGCTGCTGCTGCTGCTGCTGCTGCTGCTGCTGCTGCTGCTGCTCTTGCTGCTGCTGCTGCTGCTGCTCTTGCTGCTGCTGCTGCTGCTGCTGCTGCTCTTGCTGCTGCTGCTGCTGCTGCTCTTGCTGCTGCTGCTGCTGCTGCTGCTGCTGCTCTTGCTGCTGCTGCTGCTGCTGCTGCTGCTGCTGCTGCTCTTGCTGCTGCTGCTGCTGCTGCTGCTGCTGCAATCCAGGATCGGGTGTGGCGTTGTGGCTGCAGAGCACCAAATTGGGAAACCAGTGGTCAGCTTCATTGCGGGGGCTTCTGCGCCTCCGGGGAAGCGAATGGGCCACGCGGGGGCGATTGCTGGCAGCAGCAGCGGCACTGCAGCAGCAAAAGCAGCAGCACTTCGCAGCGCAGGAGTTGAAGTCGTTGAAAGTCCAGCCCGCATCGGCGAAGCAATTTACAATGCTCTCAAGAAAGCTGGGCGCATTTAGCAGCAGCAAACGCCGCTGCTGCTGCTGCTGCTGCTGCTGCAGCGGCGGCAGGGGCGGCCGCGCTGCAGAGTTGCTGCTGCTATTGCTGCGGCGGTGGCTGCAGGGCCGCCCGCACTGCAGAAGTGCTTTTGCTGCTGCTGCGGCGGCTGCAGGGCGGCCGCGCTGCAGTGCTGCTGCTGCTGCTGCTGCTGCAGTGGGGCTTGCTACTGCGGCGCAGGTGTGATTGTTCGTTGCAGTGCAGACAAAAACGCCTATATTCGTGAAAACGGAAATGGAAATTAAATTCAAAATTAAATTCAAATATAAACTCAAGTGTCTCGCGATGCATGCACGAGCGGCGCAGCATTTCCGGCTGCTTCCTCGCTTGCTGCTGCTGCAAAAGGCTTGCCGCCAGCTGCTGCAGCAGCTGCTGCAGCAACTGCAGCAGCTGCAGCAGCAGCAAGTACGGCGGCTGCAGCAATGGCAAATGCTGAAGCAGCTGCAGCAGTAGCCGCAGATGCTGCAGCAACTTCCGCGGGTGCAGCAGCAGCAGATCCTGCAAATGCTAGCTGCTGCTGCAATTGCTGCTGCTGCTGCTGGCTGCTGGCTGCTGCTGCAGCGCCCTCAGAGGACTTGCATGAGGTCATCTTAAGTTTATATAGGAAGCTGATTCTGCGGTATAAATTTTTAGATATATTTATATTAAATAATTATAATTAATAGTTATACTTAGTAATTAAATTATTATATTTAATAATTCTACTTTTATAATTGTCCCGAGGGGGGACACATGTGGCTACCAAATAAATAAGTAAATAAATAAATAAATAAATAAATAATAAATATTAAATAAAGAAATAATAAAAAGGTGTAATAGATTCCCCCTTAGCTGCCTTTTCTGAAGTAAAATTACTTTTGCCTTTTACATTTTTAATTGTCATTTTGTTGCCACAGAGCAACCGTGCCATAGGACTCGGCACTGCAGCAGCAGCAGCAGCTGCTGCTGCAGCTGCTGCGGCTGCTGCTGCTGCTGCTGCTGGAGTGTCTGCGCAGCGGGGCTGCAGCCTTTTGCTCAGCGACGCTTTTCCTTCACAGAAGAAAAATGCCAAAAACATGTAATAATGATAATAAATAATAATAATTAATAACAATAATAATAATGATAGTAATAATAATAATAATAATTTGTTTTTGTTGTTGAAGGGAATTATCAGTTTTGTTGCAGTGGAAAGGAACTGCGGTGGGGTGTACGTACACCCCAGACCAGCAGCCACAAATATAGCCAAGGGACAAAAGGGAGAAAAAGAAATAAAATAAAATAAAATAAAATAAATAAAATAAATTAAATTAAAAAGAGACAAAAAGAAGAGAAAGCTGAAAGCAGCAGCAGTTGCTGCTCTTTCTTTGCGTCTCTTGCAAGTAAAAAGCAGCACACTAAAGAGCGCAGCAGCAGCAGCAGCAGCAGCAGCTCCTTGCTGCTGCTGCTGCTGCATCTCCTCTGCTGCTGCTGCTGCTGTTCCTTGGATATTTAAAAGGCCCATAATAGAAAAGTTCAAATTGCTTTAAGATCTCTAGAGACAGCGCGACTCGCGCTAGCCTCAGCAGCAGCAGCAACAGCAACAGCAATACTGCAGCAGCAGCGCAGCAGCTGCAACGGGACAACAGCAGAAGCTGCAACAACACCTGAAGCAGCCGTTACAGCATCCTTTGCTGCTGCTGCTGCAGGGCGCAACGCGCCAATCTGCTCGCTGCTGCGTCAACTGCCGCTGCTGCTGCTACCACTGCTGCTGCTGCTGCTGCTGCTGCTGCTGTGTTCCGGCTGTGTCTCTGGGCCTGTCAGTGCCTTAGGTGCTGCTGCTGTTGCTGCTGCTGCTGCTGCTGCCTGCCTTTGCAGCTGACTGTCTTGCTGGGCCAGCTCTTCTTCAGAGAAGACCAGCAAGTGCACCATCTGCTCCACCTTCTCCCTGAGATAAACCCTAAACCCTAAACCCTAAACCCTAAACGCTAAACCCTCATACCCAGAGAAGCCTCGCTTACAGCCCCCGCCCTGTAGATACTTCTCTATTGTAAGCAAGCACTCTCCGCGCTTGCCTCTAACCCCTAAACCCCAAACCCTAAACCCTAAACCCTAAACCCTTGCTGCAGCACCTTAGTTCTTCTTCCGGCTCTATGCAGAAAACCGCCCGCAGCACTTCGTAGACTCCAAACCACCGCAGCGTTTCTCTGAAAACAAAAACGGGGAAATCAAATAAAATTAAATTAAATTGAAAATGAATTAAAATACAAATAATAAAACAAATGAATTAATAAAATAATAAAATAAAAGAGAAATAGAAGCAAGGGAGAAGAAATGAGGCTGGAATAAGCAGCAGCGACCGATACAAGTAATGCAGCAGCAGCAGCAGCAGCAGCAGCAGAAGTAACAGCAGCAACAGCAGCAGCAGCAGCAACAGCGCCTTTCGCTGCAGCACGAGCAGCAGAAAACAACTCAAAAAAGGTTTAAATGCCCTTGTAATGAATTACTAAAATAAAATAAAAAGAAAAACGAACAAAAAGCCCACCGGCCGTACGCAGAAGCCGCCAAAGCCCCCAAAGCTTCCAGAGCCAGCCGCCGCGCCTTCGGGTCTGTTGCAGGGCCGAAACTCAAGGCCTGCAGCAGCAGAAAAGGCATTTAATTTGGAATATAAATTAATTTATAATTATAATTACAAATTAAATCATTAATTCGCGTTTATTCGAAGAAAAAACGGAGAAAAACGCCAAAAATGAACGCCTGGAAGCCGGCCTGCAGCCGCCATTCTTCAGGTGTACGTACACCCCAGTGCATGCACACACACATGCAGATGTGCATTTAAATATAAATATGAAAATATAAATATAAATATAAACATAAACATAATTACAATTATAATTATAAGTAATAAATGCAATTATAATTAGAATTATAAATGTAGATATAAATATGAAAATATAAATATAAATATAAATATAAATATAAACATAATTATAATTATAAATAATAAATGCAATTATAATTAGAATTATAAATGAAGATATAAATATAAATATGAAAATATGAATATAAATATAAATATAATATAAATATAAATATAAATATAAATATAACTATAAATATAAACATAATTATAATTATATATAATAAATGCAATTATAACTAGAATTATAAATGTAGATATAAATATAAATTTAAATTTGAATTGAAATAAAAATACAAATGAGAATATAAATGCAAAACTACAAACTCAATTCACCAAATGCAAATCTGAAAATCCAAAAATCAAAAAGTTTATGAAAATATAAATAAATAAATCTCCAAATAAAGAGAAATAAATGCACTAAAAGATAAATGAAATTAAAAACAAAAATATAATTTGAATGAAATAAAAATATATTTAAAATAAAAACCAAAAATGAAAATATGAATTTGTTAACTGCTGCACATGAAAGGCCCCACATCCACTTTGGGGTGTAGAAACCGCAGCCGCTGCTTCTCTGTGACCCCAGTCTCCTGCTGCTGCTGCTGCTGCTGCTGCTGCTGCTGCTGCTGCTGCTGCCGCTGCTTGTCGTCTTCTGCGTCTTGGGCCTCCAGCTCATCTTTCGCCTTCGCGCGCTGCGGGCTGCCAGGCTTTGGGTAGAGGAAGCAGCAAAGAGCCAGCAGCAAGCGGCAGTCTTCATGCTGCTGCTGCTGCTGCTGCTGTTCCTGCTGCTGGTGCTGCTGCACGCGCTGCTGCAGCTGCCTGTGGTCCGTCGGCAGCAGCAGCGGGTGCAGCTGCTCGCAGCAAGCCAGCCGCAGCAGCAGCAGCAAAAAGGGCTGCTGGCACAGCGGTGGCAGGTGAGGCAGCAAATCTCTGAAAATGGCGAAACAGAAATAAATAATAATTTAAAAAGTAAACAACTTATTTAAAATGAATTAAATTGGAGTAATTTGCGGAAAAAATCATCAAAAATAACCTAAAATCGCAAAAAAACAAGTTTCGCGTTTGCTGCTGCTGCTGCTGCTGCTGCTGCGCATTACATACAACTTAACATTTTTGATAACTTCATTTTTGTTTTCACTTTTCCATCTATTTTTGATTTGTTTATTTTAATCCTTTTAAAACTTTTAATTATTTATTTATTTAAACATTTGCTGCAGCTCACAGCAGCTCGTTAAGAGTCTGCATGCGCCGCTGCAGCAAAAAGGCCACAGCCTCATCTTTTGCTGTTACGTTCTGCAGAATCTGCAGCAAGAAAATCCCCTTTTCCTTCCAGTAGCTGCTCCTGCAGCAGCAGCAGCAGCAGCAGCAGAGCAGCAGCAGCAGCAGAGCAGCAGCAGCAGCAGCAGCAGGAGCAGCAGCAGCAGCAGCAGCAACAGCAGCAGCAGTAAGCTAGCTACCCGGCAGCGGGAATTTGAGGGGAAAAACAGCATCAGCAGCTCTTTTGTGTCTCGTGAGGTTTGACAGCAGCATCAGGCTAATGCCCACGTGCAGCGGCACCTCTTCTTCCCCCTGCTGCTGCTGCTGCTGCTGCTGCTGCTGCCGCTTCAGGTTCTCCAGCAGCAAGCTGGTCATGTCTTTGTACTCCTCCAGCATGAGTTCAGCTGCGGAAACACCGCAGCGGCGACTCGGGTGAAGCCAGCTTAGGGTTTAGGGCTTAGGGTTTAGGGTTTAGGGTTTAGGGTTTAGGGTTTAGGGTTTAGCTTACCCAGGGTTTCGTTTGCTGTTAAGTTAATTAAGATTTCTGTGCTCAGCGCAGAGAGGCTGCCGTCTTTGCCGCCTACGAGCCGCAGCAGGCGGCGCAGCCCCTGCACAACAGCTTCCCGCTGGTGCTGCTGCTGCTGCTGCTGCTGTTGCTGCTGCTGCTGCTGTTTTTGCTCCTGCTGCTGCTGCTTGTTTTGGTGCTCCTTGGTGGAGGAAAGGCCACTAATGAGAAAGCGGATGAAGTCGGGGTCCCCGCTGCACTGCAGCACGAGCTGGAGCACCGGAAGCAGGACTTTGGGGTTCTGCTGCTGCTGCTGCAGCAGCAGCAGCAGCTCCACATAAGAAGCCTCTTGTTCTTCCAACATTTTGGCCTTGGCACTGGCTTGCTGCACTGTATGTACACTGCAGCAAGTCCTGAGCTCTGCTGTCCGAGGCAGGAGCAGCCTTCTGCAGCAGCAGCAGCTGCTGCTGCTGTGGGGGTAGCAAGTGAGAGCAGCAGCAGCAGCAGCAGCAGGAACCGTAGCTGCTAGCAAAGGCGGAAGAAAAACTTGTAACAGACAGACAGCAGCAAACTGCAGCAGCAGCAAGAAGGCTGGGGCTGGATTGGCTGCGGGCCCCCGCGCCTGTGCTTTCTGGTGGCTTCTCTGTTGATTAACTTGGATATTAAAATCAAGTTTCTTTTTGTTTTTAAATTCTAAACTCTAAATATCTTGCAAAAAGAAGCTGCTGTGAGCTGCTGCAGCAGCAGATACGCAGCGGCTCCTACTGGGGGTACAGGCGCTGGTCCGCTGCTGCTGCTGCTGCCGCTGCTGCTGCTGCTGCTCCAGCAGACCCCTGCAGCAGCAGCAACCAACCTTTAGAAATTTTGTTCCTTTTTGCAAATCCGCAGACTCATTTGTAGAGTCGTGAAGCCAGTTGCTGCCGCTGCTGCAGCAGCAGCAGCGCATCACTGCAGCGCTTCCGTGTCGGCCGCCTCCGACTCAGCAGCAGCAGCAGCAGCAGCAGCAGTAGCAGCAGCAGCAAGGCCAAGCCCCACCCCAAGGGCCTCGTGCTGCACCCCACAGTCGACGTCAGCAAACTCGAGCAGCTGCAGCCAAACCCTTCAATGCCCACGCAGCCCACAAAGCAAAACATCCTTATGTGCGCCGCTCTTTGCTGCGCAGCAGCAGCAGCAGCAGCAGCAGCTGTTGCTGCTGCTGCTGCTGCGGCCGCGGCTGCGGCTGCGGCTCGCTCCGGCTGCTGCTATTGCTGCTGCTGCTGAAACGGGCTCCTACCGCTGCTTCTGCTATTGCGCGCTCGTGCTCATGCTGCTGCTGCTGCTGCTGTGACTCGCTCCTGCTGCTGCTGCTGCGGCTCGGTGCTGCTGCTGCTTGGCCTTTAGCTGCTGCATTCCCTTGCTGCCTTGCTTTTTGTCCATTTTTTATTACCTGAATTTGCTGCTATTTATTATCTGAATTTGCTGCTGTTTACTATCTGAATTTGCTGCTGCTTATTACCTGAATCTGCTGCTATTTATTATCTGAAGTTGCTGCTGCTGCTTCCTGCTGCTTTTGCTGCAGCGCTCTCAACTGGCTCGTCAGAGACGCAATGCCCGGCGACAGGTGAGCACCGAACCCTCGCGGCAGAGCAGCTGCAGCAGCAACAGCAACAGCAACAGCAACAGCAGCAACAGCAACGGCAGCAGCGGCAGCAGCAGCTGCTGCTGCTGCTGTTGTTGCTGTGTTTATACGAGTCTAGTCTTCAAAATTGCATCCTTTGGACTTCGCCTGAACGAGTGCCTCCTTGCCTTCTTGCTGCAGCCTCTGCTGCTGGTGCTGCTGCTGCTGCAGCTGCTGCTGGTGCATATTTCGGTGTATTTGTGGGTGGTGCCTCCGCAGCTGCTGCGCTGCAGCACCAGGGTAGAGCAGCGGGAAGGGTTTGGGGCTGCATCTAGCCGCTGCTGCTGCTGCTTGCATGCGTTTGCTGCTGTTTGCTGCTTCCAGGCTTTTCTTTTACTTCAGCGGCCACAGCACTCAAGTTGACAACCTCTCAGCCTACGAGGGAGAAGGTGAAGCAGCAGCAGCACCAGCAGCAGCAGCACAATCCGCAGCAGCAGCACAAGCAGCAGCAGCAGCACAAGCAGCAGCAGCAGCACGAGCAGCAGCAGCAGCAACGCAAGCAGCAGCAGTAGCAGTAGCAGCACAAGCCGTATTGACAAGCACACAGAGCGTGACTCCCTGCTTCTAAACCCAAATTCCTAGCCCGTATAAGCTCTAAACCCTTGGGCCCAAACCCTAAACCCTAAACCCTAGACTCCCTGGCCAAGTTTCGCACAAAGCAAACTATAAGCCGTAAGGGTCGTGCTGAGCGGGATTAGAGTTTAGGGTTTAGGGTTTAGGGGCTGAGGCTTAGGGTCTAGGGTCTAGGGTTTAGCTTTTTCAAATTTAGGATTTAGGGTTTAGGGTATAGGGTTTAGGGTTGCTGCTCAGGCTACGATGAGGCTTTGCTACCAGTGGACTTTGACTCTTTAGGCAGCGAAGAAGATGCAAATCTGCTGCTGACAATTCACCTCAAAGAGGTTGGTCTCCACCCCAAAAGGGTTTAGGGTTTAGGGTTTAGGGTTCAGGGTTTAGGGTTTAGGGGCGCCGCGTGCTGCAGCGCCGCAGCTGTTGCTGTGCCGCTGAGCTGCTGCTGTGTGCTTCAGCAGCAGCAGCAGCAGCAAATGCCTTTTCTTGAAGCATCTCTTTCAAATGTATTTAAAATTTAAAAATATATTAAATGAATTTAAATAATTATATTTAATGGAGTTGTTTTCTATATTTGAATTCACAGGCTTGCACAAACTTATAAATGCTTTTTTCTAATTTTGAATTTGCATGCATTTCTGCTGTCTTGCTGCTGCTTCTAGAGCCAGCAGCGCGTGCATTTAGAACATGCAACTAAATTAATTAATTAGTTAATTAATTAATTAATTAATTAATGGTTTTTAATTTACTTTTAATTTTTATTTTAAACTTTCCGCGTTTTTAAAGAAATGTGCATGCATGTGTGTAGCCCTTGGGGGCGAATGCAGCCAATGCAGCCCCATACAATGAATAAATATAAATAATAATATCATTTAAATGATATTAATTAATATTATTTAAATAATATTATTTAAATAATATTATTTAAATAATATTATTTAAATAATATTATTTAAATAAC